GTACAAGGCCAAGGAAGTTCTTCACTCATTATTATATATATGAAGTGTGTGTATAAAAAATCTTGATGTAGACTCATTAGAGAGCATAAAATTTTTCTCACATTTTTTCTATTGCATCATTCTTAAGTTATAATAAATAAATTTGAGAGACAATTAAAAAAAGATGTTATGTTTTGGCAACTTTGGAGTAGGCAAGATAGATTAGGCATACATCAGTGTCTAATAAGTTAATGTGAAAGGATGTTCATGTGTTATTGTATGTGAGATTCATAGGCAATTGTATGGTCATGATCATCATTTTTTGGGGTTTTTTTATTGAATTGTCTATTAAAAGTTGTCAATCTTATAAGGCAAATGTTTAGCTAATTAGCTAATATCATTTTGAGTTGTATAATGAACTCTTAGGACAAAGCTGGCCCTACAACTAACCAAATGTCCCCTAATAATGTCCTACTAATTATAATTGCTTTGTATAAGATAATTTGTCATATGGACCTCACAAAAAGGTTCTGATTGTACAACCCACATGACAAAATTTACTTATCATTCAAATTTTTTGCATAAAAAATAAATCTTAAACTACTCATAGAAATATAATTTACAAATTAATAAATTTAAAGGAAAAAAACCATAAATTTCTTGAAATATTTTTATGCAAATCTATAAAACTTATCCTTTAATACCTTCTGTCACATTAAATAAAATAAATTTGAGCCATATATTTCTTGAAAGCCTGCTTGGATCCTTGGAGCACTTCACTCCACTACTCTCACTTTTTTTTTTTTTGAGCTGATATAAACACAATACGTACATATCATAGATCCACAACGTGTCCATTTTATTTCCACGTTTAAATCTTTAATAAAGTACTATGAACATCACCTTTCTTTCTCACACCCTTTGTTGGTATAATGGTGGTGGTTGGTTGGGTTCCTTTGCTTTCAATTGCTTTATCTTCCACAGCCAGCTTCCAACCAAAATAATAAGAAGAAGAAAGCAATAGATACATAAACAAATAAATAAAGACAAAGATAATATAAAACTTATCAGAAAATATGTCCATTTTTTGAGAGAGATCGATGCAGAAAGAGAAGGGTGCATCTCTTTCTCCCTTCCAGGTTCAAATCTTTTGAACGAACACATACTCGCAGATACTAAAAATTAGCATTTGGAAACCGACGTTTTCTCGTTTAATTCCCCTATGTTTCTGTCTATCACTCTTGAGGTTCTGTCATTTCTCGCAACAGTAAGTTACTCTTTTTTGGGGAATGTACTTAATTACTCCTCGTTTAGATCTTTCAATTCTCAGTACAGTTTCTTATATTGCTAAAGAAAATCAGTAGGCAATGATGAGGGTCAAATCACCCACAAGCTTGCCTCTTTTTATATATTATTATTAGTGGTAGTAGTATTATTATAAATATATATTTCATAAAAACATGGGATATTATTTTTTAAAAAATGTCTGATAGGATAATTTTTCTGTGGCATAAAATTCATAATTAATTTGTCAAGCTCTTATAAATACAAGATAATATCTTGTAGTGATCCAATTAGTCTCCTAATTTATTTTTAAGGATCAAAATAGTCCCCAACTATATCCTATCATCGATTTGATCCTTTAACTCTTTAAATAGAGACTAAATTAATCCTTTCGTAAGATCACTTGGTTCTCTATTTTAAAAGTCAAAGGGCTAAAATAGAATTTTAAAATTTTAAATATCGGAAGGTCATTTGGTCTTTCATAAACCGTCAAAAGACAATTTTGATCCTTATTTCATTTTATAGTTCAATAAAATTTTAGTTTGTTCCTATTAAAAAAATGATTTAAAATATTATTACTCAATGGCTTTGCCTTCCACGGATCTTTCTAGTTTTAACGGAAGTAGTTATGAGGGTGGGAATTACTGAAGGACTTAGCATAAAGCCAACAATACATAATCATGCAGAAAAAAAAAAAAACTGATTAGGCTCAATGTTCCAACCAGCACAACATTGCTTTCGAATATTCCTCTATGAGTCATCTTTCCAAACAACAACATAGCTATGGGATAGTCTTTGTTGATAGGGCCAAGAGCAACGAGAAAGCTATCAGCCATGGTGATCAAGATGTCAATGACAATAACATTCCTAGCTATCACCAAGAGAATACTCTTTGCATTCTAGCAAACCTATCCTTACAAGAGAAGAGGGGTGACTTTGGCTTCGTTTGGGACGGCTTTCTTAATGCTTCTTAAAGAAGCTATTCAGTATAAAATGTTTAATTTTTGTGTAAAAAAATTATTTAAGAAACATTAAGAAAATCGTCCCAAACGAAACCTTTATCTAGACTGAAACATGAAGCTTCATCCAGAAAAAAAAAATCTTACAGGCAAAGATAAATTGATTGCAACAAATCACAGTATGAGATACATAATCTTACAGGCCAGTACGTGGGAGCTGGAAGTTCATACCTCTAAATATTGCACAAAGAATTTTTTATTTTTTGTTAGGAAAGGAGAATGAGAAATTATTATCAAGTATTGGATGAAGTAGGATAATGGGAGGACATGAGAGCTGAGCAAAAGAGGCGAATGATAAGAAGAATTCCTATTAGTTATATAAAATAGAGAAGTGATCGACGACGAGCATCGGTAGGGATGACCTCATGGGTAGAAAGAGTGTCAAATAAGTGCAAGTCTCTTAATGAAATTATGATTGTACCTGTGTTAATATATTGTTTGCTGGTAAGAGAAAAGTAAGTCATCTTCACTCATGGATATCTACTCAATTTTGGCACATTGTGAAATTAATTTTATTTCAAATTTAGAAGTATACATTAACTTTTGTTTAATCAATTTAATTACCCTCTTGAAGGAGTGATGAATCAAGAGCATTGCCGAATTCAATCTAGGAGTATAATTGAGTCAAGCTGACTCATGAGCTATTTCTGGCTCAACTCAATAAATAGCACATGAGCTGAGTTTAATTGGCTGACAACCCAAGCTTCAGCTAGCTAGTCATAACCCAAGTCATAAGATCATAAATTAGCTTATTTAATATAAATATACACTTAAAAAATATTTTATAATTCAACAATTTAAGTAAAAAAAAATATTAAAATATATTTAAATTATATCTCATTTTTACTATATCAAGTGATTTAATATTATTTCTATTATGATTTCTTATTTCCTTACCATTTTACTATAATACTTGCTTGAATGAATGAATTTTTCTTTTTAAAAATAAATGAGTCAGCTCATGAGTCAGCTCACGAGTTAACTTAAACTCAAAGAAGTAATCTCAAGCTCAAGCTTGAACTCTGTTAATTAATGAAGCTGGGGTGACTAAGCTAGAGCCGAGCTCGATTTTTTTAGACCCACAAGTCAAGCTACGAGAGGATTAATAACAATTCCCTAATAGAGGAGGTGTAAATAGAGTTGTCATTTGCACTATTCTGAAAGGATCATTTCTTAAGGCAAATTAATTCAACTGCATTGATATCATTATATTAAATAAAAAAATATACTATAAATAAATAATCCATAAGTATTTAAGATAGTATCCCTTTAAAGTTGCTACAAAGAGTCTACAAATGTTTGAAGGTGGATTTAAGCCAGAAAAATGAGAAGGATAATGGAAGAGTGGTTAGAGGTTAAAGAAGGCTTGATTGCAAAATAAGAATAAATAAATAAGTCTATTCATCTATTATTTTGTAAGGCTTTATTAATCTAAATTCAAATTGGAACCTCAAGTAAAATAGATTGATTGAGTCGATTGTTAAACTACAAGAAAGAGAGCTCTATGCTAGGAATATCCTAAAGATCATATTGAAAATACAATCATAGAAATTTGCTATCTTATTAATAACGACATTCCCATAAATATTATCCTAAATAGATCTGATCTAATTGAAATGCCCCAAAATAACATCAACCATATTCATTATTTCAAATCTAACCAATGAGACTTATAGATATACTTCCTATTATAAGTTACATTAACAACCTAAACAAAAGTAACTTAATACAAAAAAAAAAAGTTAAGACATGAATACAATTGAATAGAATTGGATTCATAAAGAATCCCACTTTATCAACATTCTCCTCCTTTGAGATTTCAAATAACTTCTATTGGATGATTTTTTTTTTAAATGTTGAGAGAGTTATTTGAGTATAAATTTTATATAGCTGTGTCTAATTTCGAGATCTTGAAACCAACTTTTAAGATCTCTACCCACAAATTTTCTAGCTATCACCAACCCAATTACAACAATCACTTAGCACTTAGCTAATAGTAATATAGGCTTTATTTCAGATAAGTTTTTTATTGCTTCTTAAATCAACTTTTTAGTACAAAAATTAAATTTTTTGTTCAAAAAAATTATTTTAAGAAGCAGTAATAAAGTCATCCCAAACCAAATCTTAATTAAGCAAAAAATTAAAAAAAAAACGGTTTTTCACTACTGAAACATGATGCCAAATAAGCCATCTATTTATTATTTATCATTAATTCTTTTTAAGCCTCATTTGATTGCCTAAAGTTAAGAAATACATTTAAAAATTTATTATTTCATTATTCATTTAATTGGAATTAGTAATTAAAATTAAAATCAATTTAATTAAACCCCACAAACCTTCCACAATCTTTCAAATACAGTGATTTTAATTTAAAAAATCCAATTGAATAAGAAAAGCATCATCAATTTCAACATGTGCTTCCTATTCCCAAGCAATTAAATAAGCCCCTAATAAACTTCTTAATAAATTAACCTGCTTGCAATTAGAAGTTAAAATCCAAGTCTTTGTACATCACTTTTCACTTAAACAAGTTAAAAAATATAAAAAATGATAAATTATGAAGTCATTACACGCATAATGAGAGGAGATATTTATATACAAATTTAAGACGTAGCGAGACGTAATATAGACCTTTCATTTTTTTAAAAAGAATAATGATTTTTTTTTTTTTTTTTTTCTTAAAGAGAGGGGGGATTAGAAAGTGTGGATAATGGTAGTGAAAGCTAGGCATGGCTTTTTCCAGGTCTATGCAGACAGTGCGTTTTTATTTCATTTCTTTTTTCCCTTTCAGTTGGGAAGAAACGAAAGGGAAGGTTACAGAGATATAGGACTCTGACATGAGTCTGATTTAGCCTCGATTATATTGATATTTTAACTCTCTTTCTTTCTCAGATCTGCCTCCTTGCGAAGGGGAGGGATAGAGAGAGACAGACAGGGAGATCTATGATCAGTTCTATGTCGTTGTAAGAACTCCTAAGAAAAGGGAAGAAAAGGAGAGAGAGAAAGACGAGCTGGTTTTCTATTATACAAAAAACCCCACACGTGATCTTAAGCTTCCATCCCTCAGGTATCTCTCCAATCAAAAAGTAATCTTTCTTATTTAATTTCCTCCTCCCTCACCATGAAATCTCTCTCTCTCTATCTCTTTCTCTTTCATCTCTCATCTCTCTCTATATATCTCTCTCTCTTTATGCTTCAACATCTTCGCTTCAGCAAATTAGCCATGCTGGCCTTTTCCTTTCATCGTGGAGTCTTCATCGTCTTTGCCTTTGAAGATCCGATGCAGATCTATTGGAGCCGTTGGCTTTCACTACATAAATTCTACTTGAGAAGATTATCGCTTCTTTTTCATCTAAATTTTGTCTTTTTTTTTTTGTTTTTTTGTTCTCACAATTCTGAATTATTTAGTTGAATTGAATTGTTGAACTTTTCGTGCTGGTATAAATTCAGATCCTTTATGTTGCTTTCTGTTACAGAAGGATTTTCATCAAGGTCTTGAAGCTACTACTACAAGAATTAAAGCCATCACTTCATTCCTACTTTACACCTACTTATCTGCAATATCACAGTCGTACTACTCTAACTTTTTACAGTAGAAATAACTCTTTTCTAAGCTTGATGGCAACTTACTTCCATGGCGCACCGGAAATTCACCCTGATGGTCTACAAACGCTATATCTGATGAACCCCGGCTATGTCGGCTACGCCGATCCCGCCGGTGCTCCGGCGGCAAACATGGTCTTTCTCAACTCCGGCGGCATCACCTCCCTCAATCCCATAAACCTCTCCCACTCTCCACCACCGAACCACCAACAACAGCACTTTGTGGGAATTCCGCTCCCGCAGCCACAGGAAAACTCTGCCGGTCGCTTCCACTACAACCTTTGGAGTCAAGCGCCGGCAACTAATCTGATGGGGCGCGGAACAACTCAACAAGGCTTGTCACTTAGCCTCTCCCCACAGCAACCGCATCCATATGGTAGTTACCGAGCGGAGGCTGAGGTTTCAGCGCCGATGCCGGAGATGACTATTGCCGGAGACGATGGGGTACGGCCCATGGGGACAACGGGGCCGCCGGGAACAGCAGGAATCCAAAGCGTGCTAATGAACTCCAAGTACTTAAAGGCAGCCCAGGAGCTACTCGATGAGGTCGTAAGTGTCGGAAAAGGAGTTGGCGCAGAGACGATGAAGAAAAATGGAGAGAAGAGTCCTATGAAGAGTAGTAAAGAGCTGGATGTAAAGGGTGAGGGGGAATCAAGTGGAAAACGTGAAGCCGAGCTCACGACGGCTGAGAGGCAGGAGTTACAGATGAAGAAGGCCAAGCTCGTTGGTATGCTTGGGGAGGTAAGTATCAGTTCCGATTCTCCTTCTCTTGTTTTCAAAACAGAGAAACTTATTACTTATTAACTAGTTCTGCGATAATTCTCTAATTCTGCTTCTGTTATCTGAAATGAAGGTGGAACAGAGGTACAGGCAATATCACCATCAGATGCAGATAGTTGTCTCTTCCTTCGAAGCAGTGGCAGGCCATGGTTCCGCAAGAACATACACAGCTCTTGCTCTTCAAACCATTTCGAAGCAATTCCGGTGCCTTCGAGACGCCATTTCCGGGCAACTAAAGGCAACCGGAAGAAGCCTCGGAGAAGAAGATTGCCTTGTGGGAGGTGCCAAGTCCATAGGCTCCAGGTTAAGGCTCGTCGACCATCACCTGAGACAGCAGAGAGCTCTTCAGCAGCTAGGGATGATGCAGCATAACGCTTGGAGGCCGCAGCGAGGTCTTCCTGAGCGCGCCGTCTCCATTCTCCGAGCTTGGCTCTTTGAGCACTTCCTCCACCCGTATGGAATCACTCTTACGTCTCTTCTCTGCTTCTTCATGGATTGTTTCTTGCTTTTCTGTGGCTTACTTTTTGTTTTTTTGTGTTGAAAAACTTGTAGCTACCCGAAGGACTCGGACAAACTCATGCTCGCAAAGCAAACAGGGCTCACTAGGAGTCAGGTGCTGTGTAACTTTTCATTCGTAAAAAAGAAAGTTATTCAGTTAAAGTATTACGGGATTTCTTCTGTAGATTGGATTGGATATGTGTTGTTGAACTGTAGTTGATTATTATTAACATTCTTAAACAAAATAATATTAAAAACGATGAATTATAATGAAACATATTATTTACACGAAACTTGATGTAGAATTTATGACAAGCTATCATTGAAATTGTGGGGGGCTTTATGTACTGCATCAAACATTGGATTTTGTGTAATGTTAATAATGGATTTGACTTTTATGAGGATATATTCTTTTTAAGTTCAGCAGAAATGCTATGCGGCCATCATATAATTCAAAAAAAATAAAACTTTGTATTGACTAATAATTTTATTGATTCGGTTGATGAAGTGATGATTTTACGTGAATTTTTGTATAAATTTTTCTGATTAACATAGCATTCTCGTAAATTTTTACTGCTACAGTGGTTTTACTTCATTTTGCCATTGAATATGCTATGATATGGATGTGTGAAGTGTGTTTTGAAGAACTGAAATCTCATAAAAAGTTCATTAATTATGTTCGTTGATTAATTAAGCTGATAAACTCTAATTAACTCTGCTCTTGCAGGTCTCAAACTGGTTCATAAACGCAAGAGTCCGGCTCTGGAAGCCGATGGTGGAGGAGATGTACGTGGAGGAGACAAAAGAACACGAACAGATGAAGCCGGAAGAGAAGAGCAGCTACAGCGAATCTAACGAGGACTCAACTTCCAAAGCAAGCAGCCAAACCAAAACAGAGCAAGCCAATAGTTTCACATCCAAGAAGCAGGACAAATCAAACGAGCCAAAGCCTTCTAGTTCAATTGCGATTCCGGTCACTAAGTTCGGAATTTCTAATAACCATGATGAAGAATCACTCATGCAGCCATTTCTAAAGAAGGTAAGGAACAATGAATCTCTGCATCTAAACCCCTTGCCGCATTCTTTGACGTTGGAGATGAAGCCAGAGGAGTTTAGCAACCGGGAGCTTCTCATGAAGTTTATGGAAGCAAGGAGCAATGCAAATAATGGACACGCACTTATGAACGGTGGTGGAAATCATGGAGGAGGTTTCAACGCATACTCAATTGGAGATATTGGGAGGTTTGATACGGAGCAATTCACTCCAAGTTTTCATGGTAATGGTGTTTCTCTAACTCTTGGACTCCAACACTGTGAGTCTCTGTCGTTAACAGGAACAGAGCCACCATATCTCTCCAACGAGAGTATTCCAATGGGGAACGAAGCCAATGCATTCTGCAGCTTGAACAACAATCCACAGGCTTCTCACCCTTCAAATGCCTATGAAAGCATTGATATTCAGAACAGGAAGAGGTTTGCAGCTCAATTACTACCAGACTTTGTAGCTTGAATTGGAGCCTCTGCACTTCTTAATTAGTTTTTAGTTAGAGTATTATTGGGGTGTTTATGAAGTAATTTTGTTGGAGGAGAGAAGCTATAGTCATCAAGCTATCCTTCTCTTTTGGCCCTCCAACTCCAAACTTTTGTCTTCATTGCCTTCCTCTCGTGGGAGAAGAAGGAGAAGCAAAAGGAGTAGCTAGATATAGTGTAAAGGAAAGAGTAGCTTGAGTTATAGTTTTATACTTGATAGAACCATTTGTGCTTGAAATTTAAGTAGACGAGGGGAAGGAGTTTGAGTAGTGAAAATCTAGGGTGAGTGTATATTATTTTAGCCCTTCTCATACATATCAATAATGAACTTGCAATAATTTCCTATTTAGTTAAATAATATGATTTGTATTAATTTATACTTTCCTCTCCCGGATCTTCTTCTTTTGCTTTTAAACTTACACTCTTGTTCATCTAATTTAATTTGAAATTTTTGTTTTATTAGTAATACTCTTTGACACCCACACGTGCTCTAACACTCGAACTTCTATCACAAATTACACAGACACCATAAAAAAAGATGTTATTAGCTCAATATCATATATTTTCTTAATAACTTAGATATGATAATATCAATGCATTAGTAAAAGCAGTTCAGATCTCTCATAAGAGCATCTCCAATCAAACGTCAAACATGCGTATGTCGTGGTTCGGTCGCTCCAGCCGAACCCCAAATCTTCTGCTATTTGCATGCATGTGAACAGTGCGACGTCAATATTGACATTGCGTTGTTCACCAACGCTATTCTTCTGTCTCAACCGGATTTGCCGAAGAAACGCACCAAAAGAAGAAATACGATTACCCTTCTCATAAGCCCGCAAAATAGAATTAGATTAGAGATGAATCACAGTATTTTTGAGTTTCACTTATTTTAGAGTAAAAAATGGTTGAAGATGCTCTAATAGTACATTGTTGTTTAAAGTTAAGGTTTTTATAACTGACAATATGTATGATGGAGATGGGATAACCAATGCGAAATCAGCGTAAGGCCAGGAAAAGGACTGAGCTCTTTGATTAATGAGCTTAAAGTGCAGCCGAGGAAAGGGCTATTGGAGGGGAGGTGAATGTGAAAAGGCAAAAGCCAAAGCATTTAACGAGAAAAAACAGGACACTCTGCTCTTATAATTAATTTGGCAGGTGTTTGGTTTGGCTGTGAGTGGCGCTGATGAGCAGAGCGTCCTATCTCTGTTTGTGGGGCTCTCTTTGTTTCCACACTTAACCATGAGGTAACAGTTCCATGCACATGCAGACAACGATACCGACAGGCCCCTCTCTCTCTCTCTCTCTCTCTCTCTCTCGTGGGGTGTTTTTAAGAGATAGGGGGGAAGAGTTTGACAAAGTAAAGTTTGTGAAAGAAGGAGAGAGAAAGGACATTAATGCAGGGAAGGCCAAGCTTGGCAAGTGATGATGAGGTATATAATTGCCGCTTTCCACCGCCTGCCAGGCTTTGCTGTATATCTATGGACATTGCTGCTTCTCTTATCGTTTCCTTATCTTGTATGTTTGCTAGTGCATGTGTGTGTGTCTGTGAGCATTCAAGGAAAAACACACACAAATCACACTTGTTTCTGTATATGTATGGTGCTTTGAAGATAAATATTCAGAAATAAATATAATCTATATATAATTTTTTTCTCTCTCTCTTCCTGCTCATTTCAAGATGCATCATTAGTTTAGGAATCATAGGTAGATTAATAAATTATGATAAATTAATGAAGTTATTAGAGTAGCATAAGATACATTAATCAATTGTGTTTAGCAAGTTTCATTACAAGTTAGATTTAAAAACTTTGGAAGTTGAATAAGTTGTCTCAAATCACCATTTAGATTATTGCAGAAAACATTTAATAAGAAAAATTTAATTGTTGAAGTCAAATTGGTGCCTGCATGCATGCAATGTAAATCATCAGCATTTTCATCATTGGCTTAATTAAACTATTTGGGATCGACATCCATTCGTCATAAATGCGTTGTTAATATAAATATATTATGTCAGTAAATGATTTACATTGCATGATTTACTGATCGTTAAATCTAAGGTGATTCGTAGCTCTCCTTCCTTCACTTGTTAGTTGGGAGTTTGACTCTCAACTAAGAAGTACTGAATTCGAGTCTCGCGTATATTTAACACCTTTTGTCGCCATTTTATTGCAAAGCATTTTTCTTACAGGATATGACTGCTTCTATATGATTCGTCTTTGATATTTATATTTATTTATTCTTAAATTATTCAGCTCTTTATACGATTTTTATTATGATGGTATAGTATTAGCTTTCTTCTCCAACAATGGTGCCCATTAGATATGATATATCATCAAAAAATTATCTTGATTGGGCACAAATCTCGAGGCAAAATCAACTAGAAACTTCAAAAATTAAATCCGGGGTCACCTGAACTCCGATTTCAGCAAACTTATAGTCAAACTGAGCGTCTCGTAAACATAAACCCAACGACACCAAATTCAACTCAATCCGAGCCCAAATGAGCCCAAATCAAGCACTTAAAGTGCTGTTGGAAAGTTCATACCGCAATTTGAGTTATCAAACGGTCTTCGACTTTAACGAGCTTATAGTCGAATCGAACGGCTTCACGAGACGAATCCAGTAAACCTAAGATTGCCAAATTTCGACATCATTAAGACCTTCAAATGACTAACGAACGGTGCACGATCAAGGGATTCAATATCAACCGTCCATTCGACCACTCCCTATTTGCCCCCGATCTCACACCTATTTACAAGCTATGCCACTCCAGAAAATCTATAAATAGACCCCTCATTTCTCATGAGAGGGGACCACAAGCAAGAAGAAGAGAAGAAGATAAGAGAAGGATAGGAGAGAACAGCTCCTCCTCGACCACCGCCAGAGTTCTTCCCGCCGCCTGGACAACGCCAGAATTCGGCCGAACGTCCGAGTGACGCCGGAATTCTGTTTAACGCTGGAATTCTGCTCGACGCTGGAATTCTGCTTGACGCCAGAATTCAATACAACTTTCGGACGACATCTGAGTTCTGCCAATTTCCTTAGTGATGCCAAAACTCTGCTCAACTTTGTAATTGAATTTCAATTTAGAAGAAACTCACTGTAATCTGATCGTCCTAACTTGTTGGACGAATCAGCCTCTTGTATCTCAAACTACATTGATGGAACTTTTCAACTGGGTGTGGCCCCGCGGGTTTTTCCCTTTCCAGGGTTTTCCACGTAAAAATCCTAATGTCCTTTCATTTTTTGTTTGTGTGCTGGATATCCGTACAACACTGAGACGTGAACTTTCTAACTCTATCGCCGCATATATTCTAGTCCGCAACAAGATATATATCTTCATTGGGGTTTCTTTAGTAATAATACAGTTCAATGTGAATCTCTCCAATTTCTGTTTTTTAAGGTAAAATGTTCAAGATCGGTAGCATATATGATCATAAAAGACCTCTTGCGTGCATGCTTCGACCTACATGGAGATACATTCTAGGGGTGCATGATAGTATCACATATAATGTAACTCCCAAAGATTAAATCTGAAAGAATTGTCTATTTATTTTTTAAAAAATATATCATAGATTTTATAAATCATCGATATAAATAATAACTAGCAAAAGCAACTAACAATTGCATACATCAAAATACTACACTATATTTCTTCTCCCAAAATTAAAATACAATAGCAGAAGATCAACACAATCACTAATCTATTATAAGCTCTTAACTACAAAAGAATAATCGAAAATGCATAACAAAATATAAAAAAATTTGAGGATCTCTATCAATCTCATTCCAACTGGTCTTGACCTCTTTCCCGATCTGTAATCATAAAAATTTATATATAATGATATAAAAAACCCAATAAGTAAACAAAACTTTATTCCTTCGCATGGTATTATATTTTAAGAGACAACTCATATTCATTATAGTATTAACAACCAGTCTTTATTATTTACATGCAAATACTATATTTTTTTTATGCAATGTAAGTCAATATCCTATACAAAATACATAAATATATAATACAAAAATATCTATCAAATTTGTATAATATGTATTTACTTCAAAAAATCATCTTTCAATTTAACCAGTGAAACTTCAATATATTCATGTCAAAATACTCTTATTGATGAGATCTATCACATATTAAAAGTTATGCGGTGGAAATTTTTACCATTACAAAATTATCTTTATTTTCTTAGTAACGTTAATATAAATTTGATCAAAAAATATAAAAAAAAATTATTGAAATCAGAGATAGGATAATTATTTTTTACAGTGAGACAAACAAATTTCCTAACTAAGCCGATTGTCGAAAATCACTATGATATCCAAATCTAAGAATTATTTATCTCATCACTTTCTCTCTAAATTTTCCAAATTATTAGCCTCTAATAGCCGATGGAATAAGGAGAAATGGGATTTGAATAATGTTATATAATGCTTTTAGAAGTTTAAGATTAAAATAATAATATAATATTACTTAATTATTAACATAAAATTTATATAAAATTTATATAAATTCTTATATAGCTTTAAATTAAATTTTATAAAAATTATATTCATAAAATAACTTATTTTATTAAAAAAATTCTTATAAAATTGGTTTGCAAAACGGATACTTGGTTGTCCGAAAATCCCCACTTATACTAACAAGTGTTAATTTCTTAAGGATTAGCACCAGTGCTCCAAAATTACGAAAAAATTAGTATAATTAAAACATAATAATATATATCTTATGGCGAATACGGTTTTTAAATTTGACTTATAATGATTCCTAGAAAAAATTATTTGTTTGGATGAAAATATAGACTATTACAGATAATATTAGAGGGCACTTTGAGGCTTCTTCTCCATCATGTGACATTCATGTTGAAAGTATAATGTTTTTTTTATATTTATTTTTTCCGTCAATTTCTTAAAGTAATAGGTGTTATCATGAATGCCTTCTCTTCATTTCTCCAGCTATTTCCTTCATTTATGTTGTACATTCAAATCATGAGTCATCACTAAATAGTAATATATAATTGTGATACTATACGGGAGAAAATTTCGAGAACATTCATTTAAGGGTATATGAAGAGGCATGAGTCCATGATAGAGAATTCATAGTAGAGAAAAGAAATATTTCTAATTAAGTGTATAACATGGTTGAGGTGAAATTCAACCCTCTATGGAATGTTTCAAAATCATACTTTTGACGCTTCAAAACTTGAGATATATTCAACTGGACGCGCGAGGCTAAGACTCATTACAGATTTATTTGCCTTTAGTTAGGAATTTAGAAATTTTATGAGAAAAAATTAAAATTTAAACGAGAATTTGACTTTTAATAGGACATAATGGAGAAAAAGGATTTATGTAGCCGACCCCACGTACTGGGATAA